ACACACGCTCTTCTTGCACTACACTGAACACTTTGGACAATATGTTCACCGTGACTTGGTCTGTCCTCCTTACTAAATTACGCTGAAAAGCCCGTCCACTCTGGTTGGTTTGGTTTGATTGTCACTTGACACCAAGCGCACCTGAAGCCAACCAACAGCACTAAGAGAATTAAAGTCAGCTGGTTTGTGGCAGGTGTTAAAATGAATGAGTTTTTATTCCCAGCCTGCTAACAGTGCTGAAGAGCTGTGGCAGCTGGCGCTTTATGATTCAAGATGGCAGCTTGGCATGAAGAGCAGAAATATTTGATACATTTAGAACAACTGATCACATCGAGCCCAGACGGCATCTTTTGCTTTGGTTACTGCTGCACGGAGCCGCTGCTGGGAAAATAGCACGCTTCAGTTCAGTTACGAATCTAAAGGCTTTGTTCTTTTTTTTTTTTAGATGAACACAAAATGATTTAAGATGGAAATTTTTTTTTGCAACATACTGTGGAACGTTCAAGATTTACGCAAAAAAAAAAAAACACTTTTATGCTTACCAAATTGCCCCACAAATGTTGACCCTAACTTCAGATAATGTGTAATTAAAGAGAACTCTGCTTTAACATCAAATTGATTTCCATGTTATGTAATTTTAATAAATGAAAAGCTAGAACATCCGTCCTTTTGATATTATGTAAAAGTATGTCGAGGTTTTACTACTTTGCTGGTGAATTTTCTTACCTATGTACATTTCATCAAGTGACTCACCCCATTAACCTTTTAAAAACATAAAATAACATTTAAATTAACTAGAAAACATCCTTTATATTGGATCTTTATCTGGTCGTAGTTTGTGAAACCTTATTTAACTGATTTTTATCGAATTGTTTCAACTTGTTGTTGGGTTTTCTGTCATGTTTGGTTTTTGTGGCAAGTCTTTAGCTTCCTCTGTTTTTAAAAACTTTTGACAAAGCACATGGTGCTCCCAAAAAAACTCATTTACGCTCTCACAAACCGTACATTTGTTGTAATTCAAGACATAAATGTTAAAGCCAACATATATACAGAACAGGCCAAAAGTTTGGACACACTTTCTCACTCAATGTGTTTTCTTTATTTTCATGACCTTTGACAGTACATTGATAGATTCACATTGAAGGCATCAGAACTATGAAAGTACACATGTGGAGGTATGTCCATAACCAAAAAAGGTGAAATAACTGTGTCACAAACTCCTCTAGCTAACTACATTTCCCAGCATTCTCGCCACCACTTCCCAACATTCCCGCCACCAACGTGGCTTGCCGACGTCATCACGCAGACACTATATACGGAAGCACCGGCGTTCATTCATTACTCAATAATCGTTCCTACCAGACTTTGAATCGAGTTCTCAGGCTTACCAGCCCTCAAACCCAACCAAAAGGATCTAAACACGCTGTCTACTACCACCACTCCGCGCCTGGGCCACAGACCATCTCTGCTACGTTTCAGCTCTGCCACAAAACCTGACAAACTGAAAATATTATTTATATCCTATATCTGACTTCTAAATAGCCATCTTTGCTTTGTTTACTGCGTAGATCTTAGCAAGCTCTCGATGGGCTTCAAGAGGTAATCACCTGAAATGGTTTTGCAACAGTCTGGACTACCTCATGAAGCTCATTGAGAGTACCGGTATGCTGAGAGTGTGCAAAGCAGTAATCAAAGCAATGGGTGGCAATTTTTTAGGAAATAAAATATAAAACATGTTTTCAGTTAGTACACTGTTTTTAGTTCAGTACATAACTCCACATGTGTGTATATATATATATATATATATATATATATATATATATATATATATATATATATATATATACATACACATATATATACATATACATACATATATACATATACATACATACATATATATGTATATATATATATATATATATATACATATATATACATGTATATATACATATACATACATATATATGTATATATACATGTATATATATATATATATATATATATATATATATATATATATATATGTATATATACATATATACATATACATACATGCATATATATGTATATGTATATATATATATATATATATATATATATATATATATATATATATATATATATATATATATATACATGTATATATACATATATACATATACATACATGCATATATATATATATATATATATATATATATATATATATATATATATATATATATATATATATGTATATATACATGTATATATATATATACATGTATATATACATATATACATATACATACATATATACACACACACAGACACACACACACACACACACACACACACACACACACACACACACACACACACACACACACACACACACACACACACACACACACACACACACACAATTTTTACAAAAATTAAATTTGAAACAACTGAAACAATTGTTAAAAATGTGTCTTTTCTGAAATATTTGTGCTGATGCATCTAATTTTTCAATGAAAAATAATTAGGAAGCAATGCACAGCTACAGGCTAAACGACCACTGAGTTGCCACAGAGACCAATTTGCTGTTCCACCCCAAAATTTTCACTGCCCCCTGCCAAAAAGAAAATCTATAATTCTGGGGTCGCCACTGACAAAACACACACCTACAGCGACCTAGAGTCACTACTCAAAGTGGACTAAGTGACCTTTTCTTCAAAGCTCAAATCAATGAATTCGCTGCATTTGCTTTTATCCTGCCAATTCTATTATTGCAATGGACACTAAAGTCAAATGTTAGTTTTCCTGAATTTAATTAATTGAATCTTTTGGGTACTGCTGCTGTTTTACTACCTTTACTATTATTACATTAGCTGGTTTTACTATTCCACTTGTTTTCTGATCACTTCACTAAATGAGCAGAATGGGTCAGTTCCCCTCAAATGTATTACGTGAATTCAGCAAGAGGACCGTACGCTGACACTATGCAGAGATCAAAGTCTAGTTGTTCTTTGTACATGTCTGGACTGGCAGAGAAAACAGATGCTGCAGCGCAAAGAGAGAGAATCAAACACGGCCGAGATAAATCCGCGGAGATGAACCAAGGGCCTGTCGTGTGTAATCTTGAGCCTGCAGTTAACTGCTGCTGGCCTTAAACATGTTGGTGTGGAAGCGTATAAATAAATGTTCAAAAATGCATCAGAATTATTTTATTTCTAACAAAGAAATTATTTCTGGAAAGGACCAAAAACATTCAAATTCAGCATTCTGCGGTCACTCTTAATGTAAAAATATTCGTGGCTCCATGAATGCGTATAGCTCTCGTAGCTAAACACAAAAAGCTATCACAAAAGTGACATCTTTCTATGAAAAGAAGAGACAAAAAAGGAAAAGAAAATCCATGGGGTAGATTTTCTCTCTGTGCTCCCAGAGGTCCCACACCGGACGAGAAACAACACGTGCAGGAAGTGAGGCGGCATGTTCGGAAAGCGTTTAGCGGATCAATACGGCAAGCAGGAGAGGGGAAGGATGGCAGACTCAGACAGAGCGGGAGAGGAAGAAAGACACCCAGGGGAGAGTGGAAAAGTCTCGGGGGAACGGCCTGTGCGCTTTTCAGGAGTACTGTTACACATTTCACAGTCCCAGTAAGAACATCCAACTCAGCAGCTTTCCCAGCCCATCTGAGCTCAGCACGCAGAGGCTCGGCGGTGTGAGGACAGGTAAGTGAGGCTCCTGTATTTGATATAGCGCTTTCTAGAGTCCTGGAACCCCCCAAGGCGCTTTACAACACAATCAGTCATTCACCCATTCACACACACTTTCACACACTGATGGTGATGAGCTACGATGTAGCCACAGCTACCCTGGGGCACACTGACAGAGGCGAGGCTGCCGAGCACAGGCGCCACCGGTTCCTCCGACCACCACCAGCAGTCAAGGTGGGTCAAGTGCCTTGCCCAAGGACACAGCGACAGACTGAGCGGGGCTCAAACCTGCAACCTCCCGATTACGGAGCGAGCACTTAAGTCCTGTGCCACCGTCACCTGAGACAGGGTAAGATGTGAAGCATCTCACCACCGTCTCCCCTTGAGGATAAACCCGGCTTTAATATGGGATCATGAAAAAAACTATTTGTCTGTTTGTGGTTTCGACAACGGCTCTGAAGTTCAAACCAGTGAAACTGATAATATCTGATAAGATTTAAAAGATGATGACTTCTCTAATCATTTTGTCCCAGAAGACGGAGGAACGATTCCCAACAGTAGCTTTGGGTTCAAATCTAAATTAAAATACTGAGACTTGACGAGTAAATTATCTTTGGTTTACTTTAAAAGTTTGATTCATTTCCAGAAAAAAAACACCCCTCGTTGATGTTTGGTGACCCTTGGTGGGGTTCTGACCTCAAACCACCACAATAACCACAACGAGAACAACAACAAAAATGATCATTTTAAGTTTAACAGCTTCAAGATTTCTCTTGGTTGGTGTTTAGTGACTTTTTACTGCATTGTTTAACTCAACTTTACAGTTCAATCAATTCAGCAGAGATACTGAGCACTTCCTGTTGGACGTGACCCCTAGACAAGCCAGAAGTGCTTCATCTTGCTGCGTCTGAAGGTTTTATGTTTGCAAATAATTGAAAAGAGTTTCTCATGAAGGACTTTTTAGGTTTATGAAATAATTTCTTTTAGAAAATTGCTGTTATGAGACAAAAGCCTAGCAGGCTAGCCATTAGCTTATCAATCCTATCAATCCCTGAACAATGGCTGTTTATGAAGCTACATCAGGGATTGTCCCACAAACACACATTTAAAATCTAAATTAATTACATAACATGACACCCCCCTCCCCTCCCCAAAACAAAACTAAATAAAATCAATTGAAAGGTAATAATCACACAACTTCTTAAAAAATAGAAATATTCAGATAACAAAACTGATTGTGACGTTTCCATCTGTAAATTAAACGGAACAAATGGAAGAATATTCCTAAATTAAAGGAATAAAAAGGGCTCACCTTCCTTCAACATCCCAACTTTGAGACACTTCATGAAGCGGCACGCCTGGCAGGACTTCCGCCTCCTCTTGGTGATCTCACACTCGTTAGTGGCTGGACAGCTGTACTCGATATTTCCTGCAGAAAAATGTGAAATTGTAATGTTTTGTGTAAAATGTGCATCAGACAAAAAAACATGTGAGATCACTCAAACAGGGAAAATCTTAGGATGTGTGTGTGTGTGTGTGTGGACACCTGTCCCAAGGTGACTCAGTGTGACACCTCTGAAGGCGAGGAGGGTTTAGATACATTTTGATGAGACGTGTTATCCCCCCCCACGGAGCTCAAACATCATTTTGATTCATAGAAATTATTTTCAGTAATTCAGAGCGACCTCTCCGCCCAAAGCACAGCTGCCTTTCCCAAAGATCTGCCGTTAGACCGGACAGTCTGAGGCTGTCGTATTATGTGGCAAAGCTCGATGTATTATTCAAGTCCGTCTTGACGGTTCTCGGCTCAGAATGGAAATATTTCCTATGCAATTTAATCAGTCGGATCCAAAAACAGCCAGAAATGCAGACATATTGAACCTACTGCCACTTAAGCGCTGCCACTCGTTCTCACCAGATCCGCTTCTTCTCTTGTATTCATTCTTTTTTTTTCTCTGACTCATTCTTGCACTCAAAGGCTGACAAAACCCCAAAGCATCCGTGATTTAATGTTTAAACAAAAGCCCATAAGCCCTGTGATGTATCAATGCCACCTAAAAACAGCAAACCAGGTGTTGTCTGTTGCAGATCTGCCAGAGCCGCACCCCCCCCCCCCCCACAGTGGTCAAGGAGAAGGTGCCAACATTTGTCAAGATCCTTGGCATGGATGGTGCCGGCAGGGTCACAGGCACAGTAGGGTTCTGGGGAACCACGCCAGGATGTTGGCGCAGGCTGCAGCAGGATTTAAGGTGGAATGCTTCAGCAACAGGAAAGCCACTGCAGCTTTTGCCTGTGCAAACACAGTGTGTAACAGCTCTATGCTCTTCATGCAAAGTGTCATTCATATTCAAACCATCTCATCTGGTAATGTTTCAGCTTATTTTTGCTAATAAATGAAGTAATTTTGAAAAATAAATTAAAATATGTTATTAAACTTAATATTTTTTATTAGAACGTGGGCCTAGATGTGTCACTTCTGAACATAGACAACAAATAGTAAAATTTTTGAATAATTATTTATGATGAAAACATTATTAACTGGAATATGAATGAAGAACTGACAGAGAGACGATTTGATTTTTCAGAAATGTTTATGCATTTTGTTTAAAAAGGCAAAAATAAATACATTTTATTAGAGAAGAGACTTTAATTATGTGTTTTACCTTGAGCAAATCCTCTCGTGTGTGTGTGTGTGTGTGTGTGTGTGTGTGTGTGTGCCTTCTGCTGATCGCCTACAGACTGCATCCCTCTAAAAGCCCACCATCAGTGTCCCCTCTTAGTTAATCAGGTCGTGTGTCCACCTTTATTCCTGTAAGGACGTTTCAACCACTCTGATATCCTCCCTTAACCTCTCGTATTTTCCCTCTAAATGTTGATATATTATTATGCCATGCTATTATCCACTCGCTCATCTCCACTCAGATCGGACCTCTCCTTGTTCTCCTCCTTTACCGAGGCCAGGACCCCCCAGTCCTGATTACCATTCCATTAAAGCGGCTTCTCCTTTCTGTGAATGACCACGTCCCCTGTCCCTCTGCATTTATTTTGAGGACTCCTTCGAAGTCGTCCCTCTTTCTCTGTCCCCTTTATCTGTTATTGCCCCACCGACACGTGACTGAGCTTCTAATTGGCCCCCTGATCTACTTTGCTTTGCTTCTGGGGGCTACGGGGGTCTGGGGACAAAGAACGGCTCCACACCTGTGTTCTCCTTTCTTGACTTTTCTCCCAGTGAAACGCCCGGCTCTTAATTACAGTCGCCCAACACTGATTGTTATTGACTGAAAGTCCCGCGGCTCAGGACGAGTGACGGACAGATTAAGCTCGTTACAAGCCTGTCCTCTATGACAAAAAGAAGGACCTGCTGCTAAGACAGCACAAAGTCACAACTTAGTTTAATTTACAGTCCTTATATAAATAAAACTGATGGTATAGGCAGAGATCTAACCCACATTTTTACTATAAATTACAGTAAATATACAGCAGAAAGAATAATTGCATTGAATTTAATTTTATTTATACCTTTGAACTTATTTAAGTAGGACAAGTCTTTGTAACGCAGTCTTTATGTCTCCTGAAATGTGTTTCAGTAATGGAATAGAAGCTGTTCTGGAAGCCTATGAGAAACTTTCATCACCTTTACACACTTTAGGCTAAAACCCTATGGGTTTGAGTGGTTGTTTTGGAGGCTTAAAAAACAAAAAAAATCTAATCCAAAAGTGTAAAAATTGCTCCTTAATCAACTTTTTCCTGTTTCTCCTTTATTAAGGTTAATGCTGTATGAAGGTCCTAGAATTAGAAAAATAAAAGCCATTCGTTCCTCTCTCCTTGAACGCTAAAGCCAAGCAAAGTTCCCTTGGGGAATATTAAATGGGAATAATAACAATGACAAATAATATTATTAAAGGGGAACTGGGCAGTTTTGTCTTGATCTCTTTAACAGCTGAAACATCTCCACAGTCTTCATCAGTGTCTACAGGAGCGGTTCTTCGCTAAATTAAACAAATCAGCTGTGCTCCTTATCTAAAACACGTAAGTCACAAGCTGGAATCAGACTGCAGCACCAGCTCAATTCTTTTTTAAGTCCAACAGACCGAACCTGTACTCTGAAGTTGCAAATGCGGTATTCTGACCATAGGGGGCATTAGGTTGCTGGGGGCCTTTCATTAACTCTGTAAAGGGTCATTTTAGCACATACTGGCTCAAGAAAATCATTTAAAATTATGAAAATGTTGCAAGTTATACCATTAAATGAAGCCAAATACAAATCCAGCTCCCAGGAGGTTAAAGTAATCTAATATGAGCATAAATATATAAAAGTGCAAATTTTTCTACATTATTCTTTTTAATAATTTCAAATATTTCTATCAAGACGTTTTCGATCACTGATTAGAATAACACCCTTTAGTGGCAGGTCTTTCATATATTCCTGATATCCATCTTTGAATGCTTGCTTTCAGTTGTGTTATTTTAACTTGATAAAAGTGTTAATCCCAAAAGCAGGCATTTCTGAATAAATTCAAGTAAGTTGCATTGTTAAGCATTCATAAACAAAGGGTCCCTTTATTAATGTTACCATTATTGTTAAGTGTCCTTAGGGCCAGGGTGTGTGTGCGTTTAGTAATGCATTACATAATATGGTTAAGCAGTTGTTAATACTTTATTTAATAGTTTATTAATGCTTAAAGTAAAGTTGTTAAAGGGACACTTATTGTAAAGTGGTACCAGCAAGTTTTTATTAGGTGTTAATCTGATCTGATCGTTTTTCCTTGTTTCTTCAATAGTTTTAACTCGAGTGAATCAAATTCAATAACGTTCTACTTGAAGTCATTTACTCCATCATAACAACTGTCCAGCAGAACTACAATTACAGGATGAAAGAAAGCCATGAAAGCTTCAACCTGCTACATGCCATAGTACCGCACAGGTTTGGGAGTTAAAAGTACCTCGCAGTACTGCAGCCTGACTCGATGCATCATCAAGATCTGCACCTGTATCGCCACTGCACTAGTGTTGAATATGCACATGGCGGTAACAGGTGTGTGCATTAAAAAGCAGAGCTGATTTACAGTCTGGGTCGAAAGCTGCTGCAGAGGTTTCTATTGGCTGAGCGGCATTAGTCCGACAAGAGCAGAGGGTTAGATGGATGGATGGACAAAAGTGTGAAACATGACAACGATCTCTTCAAATGGGATTTCCCAATAAAAACTAGTAGAAAAATGAAGGATTTCTTCTAATAAATGTTCACAAAAGCGATTTCAGGGAAACAAGCAAATTAGCAACAGTTAGCCTGAGATATTATACCTCAGTGGGGCTCAGTTGTGTGTGCGCATTTACATGAAATATTTTTCCACATGGGAAGTTTTACAAACATTTCATGTGAACTCAGGAGAGAACGCGACAAATACCTTGTATCGTCCTTTTGAAGAAGGCTTTGCAGGCCTCACATGAAGCAACCCCGTAGTGGTACCCTGAGGCTATGTCGCCACACACCAGGCAAAGCCTCTTGGGAATGGCGTTGAGCATGTACTCGCACTTGATTGGCGAGTCGTCGGCCATGCTGCCGGAACACTCCTCGTAGCGGCGTAAGCAGGCACTTCCGCCCCCGAGCATCCCCGGGTTGAACATGGGAGGTGAGTCCAGGGCGTGCGAGCGCCCGTTGGTGCCGTTAATGTAGCCGCCGCTCGCGTCCGAGTTGCCACTGGGACTGTGGTGGCTGCCGGTGTCTACGAGAGAAGAGGAAGGGCTGGAGGGCTCGGTTTTAACGTAAGAACCGCAGCTGGAGGATAGGTGTCGATCGTCAGAGGGCATTCTGGTCAGCAGCCTGAAACACACACGAGAAGCAGAGCTGCAGTCAGTTGAGATCACTGTAACTGGGTTTGTTTGCTTGTTTCAGAAATCTCAGAAAGGACAGGAAAATAGCTGTAGTTACATTCTAATAAAACACTTTCCAGAAAGCTTTACATGGACGTGAACTTTAATGAAATCTTCCCCAGTGGGGCTCCTTCCAGCCATCATCGCCCCATCACCCTGTGAGAAATTCATCAGCTGGCTCTGAGTTTGATAGATCATCCTACAGGCGTGACCATTAATGTGCTGGAATGCCAAGTGATATATTGCTGCATCTTATTCCTCACAGGCAAAATGGCAACTAACGACCATGTCAACAGATGCTACATACATCTTTCAAACAATGCCCGCGATTGGTCAGCTGCCAGAAGTCAATGAATGAATGAAACTTCAGAGGGCTGTTAATGGACGGAGAGAGGCGTTACACTCAGCACAGGGAGGATTATGGATAAAACACCACCGAATCAATAGTCCCGGTTATTTAGCCGCTGGGTTACGGTAATCCTGAGTAGAGACACCACCCTGGAAAAGCACCACGTAAAGCAAATGTTGCACTTCTACCCACACCAACACACAGGCAACTCAACTAATTACTTTAGGTGAAGATACACTCCAAAAACAATCGCTTGTTGAATCAACGTAAGAAATATAGAAACATTATTGGTATTTCTATCGCAGCAAAACATTTTTTACTGATAAAGCAGCTGAGAGATTTTTTTCTTTGGATGCTTGGATGCATTTTTATACGTGTTAGATTTATTTCTAGTTCACAATAAAGTTAAAGCCAAGGATAAAGGTTCTTTTATTTTTATTATCTTTTTGCGTCCCTCTCTAAAGTTTTGGCCGTGCCTATAAGCCTACATTTCACTGGGAACTTTGAAGACAAAGTTGTGATGAAATATGACAATTCTGACTTGAAATCACACAGAATTGTTACGTAGCTCTTCTAAGAAAAATTATAGACGTGTCCAGTTTATGTGTGGACATTGACAGTCATGCAAACATTGCAGAAACTTCCTAGGCGCAATTTAGTCATAAATTGTCCAAATTATCTTAATTATTTTAAAATTTTTGACTGGGCTTTTAAAGTTTTCTCACATTTCTCATGAAAATGAGCTAAAAGAGTTTCAGAAGTCTAGAGACCAGCTGCTCTTTGACTATTTTGAGATAAAAATTTTCTTGTAAAATTTCAGCAACAAAAAAGAAGATTGTTAAGATGCGTCCAAGGATTTTGAGAAGCCTCAAAAATATTTTGAAACAATGTTGCTAACTCAGCGACTTTGTCGCTATCTCTAACAAATGTTCATACCCCCTTAATTCTTTTTTTATTTTGCAAAAAATCTTGCGACATTTCTAACAATCCTTAGCTAACTTCTGTAGGTATGTGTTGTCAAAAATCCCTGCAGATTAGCAAAAGACCCAGCATGCTCTGCACGTTTATTCAGCATGATCACATTATATTGACTGACCAAACTTAGACCTCTCTTGGGTTATTTCATCCACTCAAAACAACAAGTTGTTTCAGGAACAACAATAAAAATAAATTAAGCTACAGAAAGCCATGTCTGTATTGGATTTTCTATTTTTCGTGTTGGGTATTGAGGAAAATAGGCGATAGGCGGATTGGTGCTGCATCTGCAGTGATGCGGGCGTTGTACCGGTCTGTCGTGGTGAAGAGAGCTGAGCCAGAAGGCAAAGGTCTCGATTTACCGGTCGATCCACGTTCCTACCCTCACCTATGGTCATGAGCTTTGGCTAGTGAACGAAAGAACAAGATTGCGGATACAAGCGGCCAAAATGAGTTTTCCCCACAGGGTGGCTGGGTTCTCCCCTAGAGATAGGGTGAGAAGCTCGGTCATCCGGGAGGAGCTTGGAGTAGACCCGCTGCTCTTCCAAGTTGAGAGGAGCCAGTTGAGGTGGCCCAGGAATCTGGTCAGGATGCCTCCTGGACGCACCCCTGCCCCTGGTGAGGTTTTCTGGGCACGTCCAACCGGGAGGAGACCTAAAGGGAAGACCCAGGACCCACTGGAGGGACTATGCCTCTCGGCTGACCAGGAAACACATTAGGATTCCCCCAGGGGAGCTGGTTCGGGTGGCTGGGGAGCGGGAAGTCTGGGCCTCTCGGCATAGGCTGCTGCCCCCGCAACCAGACTCTGGATAAGCGGCTGAAAATGGATTGATGGATGGTTGTTATTGAGGAAAACATGAATCCTGCCACGTGACTTTTCTTCCAGCAGCATGCCAATGCAGTGTGAAGTTATTTGATGACATACAACCGTCATCACCTGTTGACATTCAGCAACTTTCTGGGTCAAATGTAGCTACTTTCTGTTAGAAACATCTTCGCTAACGCTTGTGGTACAAACAAGTACAGTTGTATAGTCTGCAATACGTATAAGTCATATATGTTTAATATTCGAAAGTACATTTATTTTTGAGGCAATGTTACCTGTAAATTTTACATTTTTTACTTTTAGACAAAGCACTGAGTACTAAGTATTAAGTCAAATTTGGGAAACAAATTAGTGTAAAAAACGTCATGCATCTTAATGTTGTAACATAAGATATCTCTAGATATATTGTGGAGAAGTGGCTCTCTCACATTTGTCTAAAAACCTTATCCAATAACACGTTTCAAACCAAGGTCTCGCAGAACCGCCGCACTTCCCTGGGTCCTCCATTCATTACGCACTCGTGTGATTAGCAACAAAACACCAGCAATGTGAGCGGTTCGCAGCTCAATACTATCAGAGAAGGAGAAACAGCCGGCTGCTACCTCTTCAACGTTAGGACAAACTACCAGAGTCCCAAAAAGAAAAACACCATTTGAAGTCATGGACAACAAAAGATGTTTGGACCTAGAAAACAGCGACTGGTGTTTAGCGCTATCGAGTTTCCTCCGGCATTGTGGGTTTCTGGTTCCAGCAGTGTCTCAGGGAAGATTCCCGAGGGGAGAGGAGAGTGTTCGGTGATCATGCTGGGGTTCAAAACCTAGCTGGTTTGAAGATTCGCCATCAGAGCTGCATTCCAATAATGCATGCTGGTTGTTCTGTGAAATCACCAACAAGCCCTTCTATATGGAATGCAGCCCTCTGTAAAACACCTGTCTAGAGTGAAATTGTCTTCTTTCATCTTAAAGAAATAATGAAGTCCTTGAGCTGTTGTTCTTATACACATTTAGTGCTGTGAATCAAACATGTGAAGATAGCCTGAGATTAGAGCTTAAGTTTAAGTTTTCTCCATTTTGATCATTTTTACAGTCGTTGCTCTAGTTAAAGAATATTTCTTCCACTTTGCATTTTTGCAAAGCCAGTAAGTCGCCATGCTTCGACAACATAAACTTTAAAGTGCACATGGAAAGGAGTTATAGAGAGCAAGGGTTAGATGGCCTCTACCTCTGATCTCAGACCAGATCTATCGATCTCCTGCTTCCTTCCTGTTTAAGATGAGGCATGAAAATATAACCCCCCCTCTTACGGCTCCCAGACATTCCTTATGCATTTTTAATCAGTCAAGACTGTTAACACAGTGCAAGATGGAGCGATACAACACTATGCTAGTCCTCATTGTGGGGCCATTGTTGTTTATGAAAAGTTCACAGGACTCATGTTAAATCTGGCTGGAAATCAGCACGCACCCAGAGCGCGCTGAGAGGTATAATTTCTCCCATCTGAGGGAGGGAGGTGGAGAAAGCGGCAGGGTAACAGTTAATACATCATCTCAGCCCGATGGGGAATCCCTGTGGAATAGTACATCGTGGCATCTGTAAAAAGTAGTTCATTCCACACTTAGCACACAGCAATGCTGGGGAGAGGTTTTTTTGTTAGATTTTAATGAAAATTTCTAATGGGTCCTTTCAGATCTGTCCAAATGAAATAATAGCACCAACCGCCAAGTTGTTCAGACAGAAATAGCTGCATGGTTTTATTCTTTCTTCTTCTTATCTTAAAGACAAATTTCTCTAAACACAACCCAACTCTCCTTAACACGTCCCGCTGTATTGGTAAAACACGCACGCATGCACGCACGCACACACACGCACACACCCACACACACACACACACACACACACACACACACACACACACACACACTTAAAGGCATTTCACCTAATGGGTCTGCTCCGCCGTGCAGAAAAATGGTCCAAACAGAGCAGACAAGCAGGGCTCAGACAGACGTGAAGGTCACCTGCCTCCTCTGCTTCTCTGCTGTGAGACGGTCCCACTGTGGACGCAGCAGACGCAGGTTTCCGTCTGTCCATCACAAGGCAAGAATGAGACATCACTCTGTGTAGAAACCTCAGACCTGTCCAGGGTGTTCCACATGACCAGAACACATGCACAAATCAGCAAAGGCAACTTTTTTGGGCGGGAGAGCTGACGTGTGAAAAAGCCCCAGCGGAGCAGGTGAAAACTCAAGTCTTTGCCTCTGTGTGTGTAAGTGTGTTTACCGGTGTGTGTCTTGTGTACGACTCTTCATGAAAAAACTAACAAAAACAAACAGTGTATTCAAATTAATGTAATGTTCATAAAACAATTATTTTTTACAGTGCATTTCCCCACCAAAGACAAATATTGTCATTCAGCTTGAGTTTTATTTTGTAGCGAGCAGCGCGGCGTAAATCACTTCTGAGCACACAGTCAAACATGGAGGCACAGAAGGACAGAGGCAAGGAGCCATGCATGAAATTAGTTCATTAATCTTTCTATGAGAGGCTGTCCTTGTTTGGGGCAAACTCTATCAGCTTCTAACTGAGTGGCCCTTCCCGCCTGACACATAGATTACACTGCTAGTCCGCGCTCGCCGTGTCCGGGAGATGAAAACAGGGCGGCGCTTGTCGCCCACGAGTTAAGTAGGAACAACAATAACCCACGGAGGTGGCCCAAATGAAGGTCATCAAAAAAACAAATAGAGTGTGTGTGTGTGTTGTGTGTGTGTGTGTGTGTGTGTGTGTGTGTGTGTGTGTGTGTGTGTGTGTGTGTGTGTGTGTGTGTGTGTGCATGCTGAAAAATCCACATGCAAATATGTGATAAGTTGCAGCAAAGACCACACTTCTAACACACTTTAAATATTTGAAACTTTTATGTAAAAAATAGAGTTTATTGCAATAAAACGTACAAATCCTTTTAGTTAAGCTGCAGAAGAGGGTTGGGGTTAAGCACGTCGCATTACCAGCGTTTGTAAACTCCGTTTGGGAGGAAGAGACGGGAACTTTTTCACGGAAAAGAGAAAAAGTTTCTCATAACTGATGTTGTTGCAGCTCTAAACAGTAAAATCAAAAGTCTCGTTCTTGTGCAGCTCCTGTTATTTCAGCTCTGCTGCAGCTTCTTCCCGATTTCGTTTAAAACTGAAAAAAAAGTTTAAATTGTACAAAACCCCCAAACCTTTTAGTGCCACTTGGCAGCGTTTCTTCTATAAGTCTGTTGTGATTGTTTGAATGTGTTTTCAATTATTCTGTTTAGTTCCGTTTTTGACATTTTTCCATATAAAAAAGGGAAAAATAGTAAATAAAATTTCTATTTACCCTGGTCAAAGGCTAGTTTACTCTGCTTTATTTAAATAGTGCAAAAATTGTAAAATGGATTCAGGTCAATTTACAATCATTTAAAAAATGTAAATCAATTTTTTAAGTGTTTATTAAAACTATGAAATTATGGCGGAACTTCAGAAAGACTGTAGATGGAGTTAAAAAATCAAATTCAAGCAACTTCCCTGAAAGCTAAAAGAGAACTCAATCATTTCAGAGTTACCAAATCCCAACTGTAAGTTTAAACTTCATCAATATACCTCGTTTAATTCACACACACACACACACACACACACACACACACACACACACACACACACACACACACACACACACACACACACACACACACACACACACTGAACCTCTAGCATATGGCCTCTTCAATGTCAGCCAGGAGGAGAGATTGCACAGATTTCCCACGTGGATGATGTCTCCTTACCTGGAGTATCAACCCCCATCTACATACACATCCACCACCTCCAGGAAATTGCTCTGTCTGCAAAGTCAAACACACCCCTAACTGCCTTTTAAAACGAGAGAGAAACAGAGAAGAAGGAGGTTGCAGGGGAGAAAGAACAAACGAGCGAAGACTTAAGCCGTCATTGGGAATCAGAGGAGGACTCACGAGGGACAGTTGCGATATTGATTTCATAAATAAACAGAGATGGCCATCGATCTCTAATGTTATTTTGCATTTCAATTACTGCCCAGAAACATAACCTTCAAACGTCTGCTCCTCCACCGCAATAACATCCACTGATAATCACAACCGAGTCGTGTTCGCCACAAATTGGCTTTTTCTCCCACCGCCTCCACCCCACCTCCCCTCCTCCTCTTCCTTTTCTTCTTCTTCTCCTCTCAAATGTGTAAACGACACAAGTTTGCATTTGCCTAATGGCGCTAGTGCACGGGCTGAATCTCAAGTGAGACTCAGTCGGATACAGTAAGCGCTCAGGCCAACTGACACACTGCGACTGAAAGTGCTAATGAGGAATTAGGTTCAACGAAGGCCATTAAATCCAACACGTGGACCGACCCACACCCTGATTACTTCCTGTGCAGGTGTGTTCATCTCACTTCATCAGAGAGAAACTCATGAGAAGTTTGCAGCTCGGACTCGAGCACGTGAAAGGTGTTTCCTCTCCAGAGCAGAGGCGGCGTTCATCTGCATCCTCATGAATCCAGAGTCCTGGACAGGCTGCCTGAAGGATAGGTGTAAGTCAGCAGGGTCACGACGGGTAACGACGTTATTTCACCTCCAGTAACACCCGGCTGTTTCTTTATGAGGAGCAGTCATAGAGGCAGAGGTTTTATTCCTGGCTATTTTTTCTTAATCGTAGAAAAATGGTTTGCTGATCATGACCAGCGTGTTTTTGTCCCACATGGTGAGCAGAGCTGTAGTTTCTCCTCACCTGCTCCTCTGTCGATCACTTCAGTTAGCTCTGGTTTGATCACTAACACTCACGGATTTAGATTTTGAACTAAATTATATTTCTTTCACGAATATGAACATTTGCTTTTTGGATTGTTTGCAAACAAATGAAAATCAGTTGAGTTCTGTTGTTATTTCTCATTGGCCGTTCGCCTTAAAGAGATGAGCGACATCTTTAGGTTTTACACTTTTCATTTATTTCAATAAAAATTAAATAAATAATAAAAAATTTTAATCCATGTGTGCAAAGAGGCCACAAAACTGGTTCTCTCTAAAAATGTCTGAATGACCAGGAGAATAACTGGAGTAAATAACGCTGATGAGAAGACACACTCCGGGGTTTCTACGGTGATGTTAAAGTTAGATCTCAGGTCAGTGTTTGCACACACACGCACGCACGCACGCGCGCACACACACACACACACACACGCACGCACACGCACACACACAACCACTTTCATATTCTTGTCTGAACTGCCCCTTTAGAAATAGTACGACAAGAAAAATTAAGGTTTTTGTGATTTATTTAGGGAAATTAGCATTTCATAACTTTCAGCTGATTTTAGCTGCACACAAAAATCTAATTTCTAAGAAGCAGCTCATTTGAATAACCTATGAGGTTTAAAACAGACATATTTACGATTAGAGGCATTTTTCTGCACATTTCTTGGGCAGTGTCATCGGACCTCTCACAGGTCGTCTCAGCAGAAGTTTTCCAGGGATTAAACACATTCCCTCAGAGTCAGACCTCCCAGAACACAGCTGTGTGTGTCACCGATCACACATTCGGCGGTGAGAACGGAGGACGCTGTGATTTAAAACCTGAAAAAATGAGTCGAATTCTTAAGAAATTCCAGGAATAAGTAAAAGGTTTATGAGACTGAAAGAAAATGTTTTCAACTTGATTTAACTTTTAATTTGATCATTTTTGATACAAAAAGAATAAATCTATTTTTACACCTAAAACAATCACTTGATTTTGGATGTAAAATACACACAAAAATATAAATTAAACCCAGAAATGTGAGTTACTGAGTGAAGTTCAAACAACCAACAGACTCTGGATGAAGATTATACATCTGACTAATTCCCTTTCCCTCTATCCTTCTAAATAGAGTTTTTCTTTATTTTGTGGATTTTCCTGTGACTGCAATGATCGTAGTGGTCAAATCAAATGTATATACAGCTTTAAAGAGTGCATACTGCACATTTAAAACTATTCATGTCATTGTTTCACTTCTTTTAATATTTCAGCGCAATTTTGATGCTAGAGTATAAGAAAAAAATGCAAAAATAAGTAAAAGTCACTAAAAAGAACTGAATTTTTTAAAATCTATTTAAAAGAGATCAAAATTAAAAACATGTGATCAGACTTTGTCAACATTTCAAGGAAGTCTGATTATTTTAATAAACTCAGCGCTCTAAATCAGCATTAATGATCAAAGTTTTTGTCAAACCCAACGCTCATAATATTATGACCTTAAAAAGAGTCTTGCTTACAGAAGATGACAGCTTTAGTTGTAACTAGTTCTAGATTATGAAGAAATGTAAAGAGTAAAACTTTAATCTAGTTACAGATTTAGTTAATTATTAATGTTTTTATTAAAGGTTGTGTGTCCTGCAGTGTACAAACATTTATGTGTTTCTAATTTTTTGTCTAAATTTGTTAAAGAAAACAAGCTTTAGAATTTTTTATGAAAGCGTTTTTCAAAAAACTGCATAAATGCACATTTTTATTTTAACTTTTATGAGCGGCTTCTTTAAAATAGTGTTAGAAACCGATGGAAACAGAAACCGAGTCTAAACTGATCCTGGTGCAGAGCAGGACCGCTGCGAGACAGCGCTCCACCTCCGACACATCTCTCAGATCAGCTGTTCCAAACTCAACTCTGTTAAAAGGTTCACTTCATGCTCTACTTTTTACTTTCTTTCTTGCAAAATGATAAAGAAACAAAAATAAGTAAAAAACAGAGCATACATTTTCGCCGACCTAAACAAAACAAAAGTGTTGATTCAGAGGTAACCAAAGAGGAGAGGGGGGCGACTCACTGGTTGTGGTAGCAGAGAGGGTCTGGGATGCACAGTTCAGAAACATCCATCAGTCCACGTGAAGCATTCCAGGTGTTGCAATTCAAAGTAAAACAAAAATGACAAACAGCTGGAGAGGAAAAAACTCAAGAGGGGAGGGAGATCAGTTCTTAAATCTCCACATTTCTTCAAAAACTGATCATCAGCTGTTCCTGGGGGGTGTCTCTCCTCCTTCCTCTGATCAACACACAGAAAACAACAACCTTCCCCCTCGGCCCAAACAAACTCCAGTCGGCACAGGTGCTGCACGCTCGGGCTCAGGTGCGCTCAGTAGTTTCACACAGAGAAGAGAAGGAGAAGAGAACGACAAATACAAAGAGGAAACACAAAGGAAGTAAGAAGAGGAGGAGGGAGAAATGTGGATAGTTGGAGAGAGCGAAGGAAGATGGATGGAGAGCAGCACACTCCACCTCAGCAAGTCAGTGAGGAGACTGAGGCTCCATTGAAGATGAGGAGGCTCTTTAAGAGGAGGAAGGAGCGGCTGGGGCAGAAGGAGCGGAGGCTGTTGGTGGGATTTAGGGAGGCTGTCCTGGAAGCAGCCAATGGGAGACGAGGACCACTGAGATGAGATGGACTAATGGGAAATGTGTGTGTCCATTCACAGGATAGAGAGAGAGAGAGATAGAGATTTTATGGGTCTGTTTATGGGGCTTTGGGGGGCTCAGTGCCAGCTTATGGAGTTAAACTCTTCCCTTTAGTCTTTTATCCTCTCCTCCGTGGATCTGGCGTTGCAAAGCCTTCCGTGGTTTAACGCAGGAACAGCTGCTTCCCACAGCTCTTCACCAGCCCAGTGCAGGTCCATTATTCCTGAAAGGATCCCCTAAAAACCCGGCCTGGCTGTTCGAGAGGTTTCTGACTGGATGTTTGCTCACGACGTCTGTCAGAGGAAACCCCTCCACCCTCCAACCCACTTCATCAACCCACATTTTCCTGATCGATGCAAAACCCATCACACGCTCTTATTGATTACAGAGCAGCCGTGTCACCAAAAGCCTGCAGGACAGACTGTTTCCTCTACAGTCTTTTAGATTAAAGAGAAAAAAGGCAGGGTTTATAAATCTGACCATTTTCTTTTCATGTCACTCCACATCAGAGTCACGGGACCAAAGGGGCAACTGCTTTAACGACGGAGCTGTGCATTCTGAATTAAAACTCTGATCAATGTTTTGGCATTCAGCGTACTTTCCTGCAGCAGAATACGCAGAATATTCCTGCTGATCTGATTAAGACATCCAGACATAATCAATAAAGGAGATGAGTTTATGTTTTTAATGAGGCAGAAAAGACAAGCGCGTGGCTTCACATTGAGGTCGGACAAAGGGATGAATTAAAATAAATAAATGCGTCAGCTTTTTATAACCTTCATATGCATCAAGTTATATTCAAATGTTATTTTTTTGTGATTTTTTAATCTATTTTAGTCATGAACGGATTATGTTGAGTTTTAATTAGCCTAGGTAGCTAAATGCATCGAGCCTTTGTGACAGGTTTACTCTAATTTCCTATTTTTCCTCATTAAGTATTCCCGTTCTCCACAGTCTCCAAATGCTAGAAATCTAACAGAAAATAGCCGAACAGAGAGAATTGGGATTATTTTATTTATTCAAATAAGGTCTGCAGTAGAGAAATCTAAACTAGGTCAAAATCAGCTGATTTCTGTTTAAATGTACACCAAATAAATTACCGGCTGTTATCTGTTGATCAAAGCATAATTAAACGTGTCACAAAGGGCACAAATATTTCAACCTTTTTTATAACTTTATTGTGAAAAAAAAAGTCATTTCTAAACCAAAAATGATAAAAATTGTAGATTTAAAATGAAACAAGAAACATTTTTGTAAACAAATTGGATAAGACTGGATAAGTGAATGTGGGAAATTATTTTTTTACAGTGCAGTGCAACTTTCATACATAACGTAGTTTTATAACAAATGGCAATAATCATTTATTTAATGGAGTGGTTCACTCCTTTAATTAATACATTTCAGTGTCTCTACTAGAAATGAATGCCTTGTAAGTCGTTCTCAGGGGAAAAAAGATGCCAGTTTCACCATTTCTCTGACCTAAAAGACCACATCACATCTGAGCTTCAGAAGGCGGGTCTTCGAGTCTTTTTTTCCTGACAAATGGGCATCTCGCCTCTGATTGGATAACAATGCAACTCCACTACTGGCTTGAAACGCTGATGTTTTATCTCCACAAATAAATCAAACCTGGAGGAGCTTCTGCCATGTGGTGAAGTTGCTAATGCTAATGGTTAGCTTCTACTAGCAGAGACGTCCGCTGCTGATTCCTGGACATTAAAGCAACAACAGCCTTCACTAGTCAAGATGGGTGAGTCCATGAATGTTTATTAACAGAGTGCTGTAGATATATCAGGAGTCAAATTCTAGATTTTCACCATCTATTTTCTATCAGAAGCTAATGCAGGAGATAGGTAGGAGACTGTTTTCATGTTCCACCTGCATGAAAAACTCAGTGATGATTTTAATTAGGAATAATAAAAAATTTGTTTCAGTGTTCCACACCTTTAAGCATCTTTGAAATAATATTTGTTAAACTCATTGCATGACCTTTATTTGACTTTTGATTTATGAACATTAAGGTTAAGTATAAAGCCATCACAAAGCGAAAAAGGTTTTTCTTTATCCATCCACCCATCCATCCATCCATCCATTTTCATCTGCTTATCTGGAGTGGGGTCATGGGGTCAGTAGCCTAAGGCGAGAGGCACAGACTTCCCTCTCCCCAGCCACTTGGGCCAGCTCCTCCGGGGGAATCCCAAGGCGTTCCCTGGCCAGGTGAGAGACATAGTCCCTCCATCGTGTTCTGGGTCTTCCTTTAGGTCTCCTCCCGGTTGGACGTGCCTGGAAAACCTCACCAGGAAGGTGTCCAGAAGGCATCCTGACCAGATACCCGAGCCACCTCAACTGGCTCCTCTCGATGTGGAGGAGCAGCGGGTCTACTCCGAGCCCCTCCCAAATGACTGAGCTTCTCACCCTATCTCTAAGGGAGAGCCCAGCCACTCTTCGGAGAAAACTCATTTCTGCCGCTTGTATCCGCGATCTCGTTCTTTCGGTCACTACCCAAAGCTCATGACCATAGGTGAGGGTAGGAACGCAGATCGACCGGTAAATCGAGAGCTTCACCTTCTGACTCAGCTCTCTTCACCACGACAGACCGGTACAACGCCCGCATCACTGCAGACGCAGCACCAATCCGCCTATCGATCTCACGCTCCAGTTTTCCCTCACTCGTGAACAAGACCCTGAGATACTTAAACTCCTCCACTTGGGGCAGGACCTCATCCCTGACCCGGAGAAGGTACTCTACCCTTTTTTAACCCTTTGGTGCATAATGGTCACTACAGTGGACAGGTACTCCAAATTGTTATTTATTTATTTTTGCTATTAAGCACAGCTGTTGAAGACTTTATTGCATGTGAGCCCCTCCATTTGGGCTTCAGCAAGTCAAGCCAACACATTTCATGTTCAGAATGCACGCTGTCCACTGAGCTGGACATGTAATAAATTATTTGTAAATTAACAAAATGTTACAAAAATATTTGTTGAAATTTGTTTCATTCACACCTAAAGATGAATGAAAAAAATTGTTTAAAAAATTATGGTTGAAGATTTCATAATTCATGCATCAAAGGGCTAATTCAAGACCATGGTCTCAGATTTAGAGGAGCTGATTCTCATAACAGCTGATTTACACTCGGCTGCGAACCGCTCCAGCGAAAGCTGAAGATCACGTTCTGATGAAGCCAACAGGACCACATCATCTGCAAAAAGCAGAGACCTGATCCTCAGGCAACCAAACTGGATGCCCTCCACATCTTGGCTGCGCCTAGAAATCCTGTCCATAAAGGTTATGAACAGAATCGGTGACAAAGAGCAGCCTTGGCAGAGTCCAACTCTCACTAGGAACGAGCCTGACTTACTGCCGGCAATGCAGACCAAGCTCTGACACCGGTCATACAGGGACCTAACAGCCCGTATCAGAGGGCCTGGTACCCCATACTCCCGGAGTACCCCCCACAGAGCCCCCCGAGGGACGCGGTCAAACGCCTTCTCCAAATCCACAAAACACATGTAGACTGGTTGGGCAAATTCCCACGCACCCTCCAGGATCCCCCTAAGGGTATAGAGCTGGTCCAGTGCTCCACGGCCAGGACGAAAACCACATTGCTTCTCCTGAATCTGAGGTTCAACAGTCCAACGGACCCTCCTCTCCAGAACCCCTGAATAGACCTTACCAGGAAGGCTCAGGAGTGTGATCCCCCTGTAGTTGGAACACACCCTGCGGTCCCCCTTTTTAAATAAGGGGACCACCACCCCGGTCTGCCAGTCCAGTGGGACTGCCCCCGATGTCCACGCGATATTGCAGAGCCGCGTCAGCCAGCACAGCCCCACAACATCCAGAGCCTTAAGGAACTCCAGGCGGTTCTCATCCACCCCTGGACTCTTGCCACAGAGGAGTTTTTTAACCACCTCAGTGACCTCTGCACCAGAGATTTAAGAGGCCAATCCAAAGTCCCCAGACTCTGCTTCCTCACTGGAAGACATGTCGGTAGCATAGGGTACCGAATTCGGTACTTTTTATGGTACCGGCCGAATTCCACAGTATTCCGATTCACATAATTTGAAACGGTGCCTCGTTTCGGTACCCGTCCTTCATAATGAGAACTTGCCTAGACAGCTGCGCATGAGCAAGAGCGTTGTGTCGTCGGTCGCTGCGAACCAGTTGTAAACAGAGCAGCAAGGTAGAAAGAACACACGCTAACGCTTGGGTCCACTTCACTAAATGTGATTGGTAACTGGGTGATGATGAAACCAGCGACAATGATCTAAGTGAGACATTCTCATCTTAATCTGCTCCGGTTGGTAAATAAAATGTTTAAGATAACGTTAGCTTGATATGTTAGCTTCCGTTCTGCTTATGGTGCGTTCGCTTTCTCCCCGGAACTCCGATTTTCCGACTAGAAGAACATGAATGCTCTCTAAAGTTTGGCTTCACTTTACTAAATGCGATGGGTGATTGGGTGAAGATGAAACCAGCGACAACGACCTAAGTGTGAGGCATCATCGTTTTAATCTGCTCCAGCAGCTAAATAAACTGTTTAAGATAACGTTAGCTTGATAAATTAGCTTCCATTGCCACCATTGTTATCAGCTAATGGTGCGTTCGCTTTCTCCTCCGAAATTCCAGAATCTCCTCGAAGCCGTATGGAAGTCTTGCTCCATGGTCTCACTGAACTCCTCCCATGCCCGGGTTTTTGCCTTGGCGACCACCCGAGCCGGGTTCCGCTTGGACTGCCGGTACCCGTCAGCTGCCTCTGGAGCCCCACAGGCCAAAAAGACCTGATAGGACTCTTTCTTCAGCTTGACAGCATCCCTAACCGCCGGTGTCCACCAGCGGGTTCAGGGGTTGCCACCACGACAGGCACTGACGATCCTGCGACCACAGCTCTGGTCGGCCGCCTCAACAACTGAGGCACGGAACAGGGTCCATTCAGGCTCAATGTCCCCCGCCTTCCCCGGAACATTTTGGAAGTTCTGTCGGAGGTGGGAATTGAAGCTCCTTCTGACAGGAGACTCTGCCAGACGTTCTCAGCAGACCCTCGCGATACGTTTGGGCCTGCCTGGTCTGACCGGCATCCTCCCCCACCATCTGAGCCAACTCACCACCAGGTAGTGGTCAGTTGACAGCTCCGCCCTCTTTTCACCCGAGTGTCCAAGACATGCGGCCGCAGGTCTGATGAAACAACAACAAAGTCGATCATCGAGCTGCGGCCTAAGGTATCCAGGTGCCAAGAGCAAATATGGAGACTTTTATGTCTGAACACTGTGTTCATTATGGACAATCCTAGCCTAGTGGACTAGACCAAATTCT